CGGATGGTCCTTGAAAGTTTCTGGAGACAAGAGATCTTTCTTGAGAGTTTATTTAGGTTTTGCTTTTTGATCAAATTATGTGAGGGGACATTATATAGAGTCAGTCAGAAAGACACCTGGGTGTCCTAAATTCAGGGTCAGGTGAACTTGGTTTCTATCACTGGAAAACATATCACTCACAGCTATAGTTAAGTCCCGGGCCTTTTTAAATGACATTTATCCCATTCATAACTAAGAAACTGTCCCCATATCTTAAAAGAGCAGTTTTACTTTGCATCCCCAATTTATTTTTGGTGTCATTTTAGTGCCGATGATTTGTTTGTATATCCTGAGAATATTTAGCCAGATGGTGAGAGTATGTGGTTTGTATCTCTTGTGAGTGACCAGGGAAGATTTAGTCCAGCAGAGATAGAATCCATAGTCATAGGTAAAATACAAAGTAAGTACTGCTCATAGATGATCATTGATTGTAGTTTTTTGTAATTGTTACCTTTTTACTCCATCCCCCCACCCCCAAGCCCACTCCCACTCCCTCAAAAAAGAAAGTGAACATTAGTTTAGAGTAATAGAAAGAGCATTGGATTGGATGTCTGAGGACATAGGTTCTAAATCTGATTCTACCTCTCACATATTGGGACTTAGAGTTAGCAAATCATGCTGGGCCTTGTGTTCCTTACCCTCCAAATGGAGGAAGATTAGACTCTATATTCATATATGGTCCTTCCAACTGTGATAGTCTATAATTCCTTGTACCAAAAAAAAAAAAAAATCTCAGCATCATTATTATCATTTTTTTCTCCAAAAATCAGAGACCAGAGTATTTACATCAATAATAATTTTAATTTATAGAGACTCAATAGGCCTGCTACTAAGAGAATTTTACCCAAGGCCTTTTGTTTATGCTCCCTTTCTTTAAATCAATGGAAAAACAAAATTCCCTAGTTTACTCAGATATATATTCCCTTAAATAGTAAGAAAGAGATTTTAAAAAATTCCAGTCATCATTTTAATAAAATTTATTTTAAAAATTCTATTTCCTAAAAAAATGTGAATATTAATCAAGAAAACAGAGATATTTCTTACAAGAGAGTATGGTATTATGAGCATATGGAATAAAAGGCTGCCAATTTTATATAATTTTATAGGTTGTTAAAGCTTCCTATTTTTACAGAAATGTTTCCTCATCAGCCTAACTCCCATCATTAGAGATTCAGTCCCTTAATTTATTGTTTTAGGAAAATAGAAAGTAGATCTCAAATATGCACTACTAATATGTTAGTATTTAATATTAAATAATAATTTTATATAGCTATCTAAAGATGACTACTTTTATACACATCATCACATGAAAAACTCATAATTCCATTAGGAAATTAAAAGATTCTTTATCCCAAATTTGTAATTGAGAAAATTAAGACTCTGAGAGATTAAATGACTTTTTCAGGGTCATCTAGATAGTAAGTAGTAGGACTAGGATGAGAACCCAGTTTCCTGACATAAACTCAGTCCTCTTTATCCAATATTTCTCTGTGAAAAGAGAATGTATGAGTCGGGATGGGGGTGCAGGGATGAAGACTTTGAAGGTAGACAGACTGGAATTCAAATTTTGATTCTGCTATTTGTTTGCTGTATCATATGAAGAAATTACTTAAACTCATTTTGTTGTATGTGAAAATCAAGAATAAGAATATCATATAAATAATATAGGGGTGATAATATACATGAAAGCACTTAGTGTTCATAGTGCATAGTAGTATTCTCTGTGTTTCTACTAGCCTATATTTTTAATCTTACAACTAGGTTGCATATGAGAGAAAAGATAGGAATATAAAGATAATTTAAAGGGAAGTACCATTTTTCTTTATGAGCCTTACATTTCAAACAGTAATAGTTGTTTCCATTTTATTTGAGTTCACATTCTTCCTTGAGTATACATGGGCTATCCCCTACCACGAATGCCCTTCCTGATCTCTCGACTCTCTGATAAATGCCTACACATTTTTTCAAGCTCAATCTCCAGAGTTATTTCCTGTTTAAAACTTTCTCTGATGCCATGGGTTGTTCCTATGACATTCATGTTAAATTCAGATTCACTTATGAATATTTACTAAGTGCCTCCTGTGGTGCTAAGGAAACTCTGCTAGGGCTACATGAGAGAACTTCATAGAATTGATCTAATTTTGTTTGTTTCTGTTAGTAGCTCCTACACATTGGGCTTTTATAGACCTTTTACTTTTAAAAAGTGAGGACTGATGTAAGTGGCCAAATTTTTAATTTTTCTAACAATATAATAAAGTGAGTACCTGCCATTGGCCACCACAAAAGAAATGCTATTTGACACCAAAGTCTAAAATCTTAGGATGAAAAAAATTAATAGATTAGGTCTTACAGAAAACTTCATGGAGGGAGTCTGCACGATCAGACAACGGGCATTGGGGATTCACTCGTTTCAATATATTTTTGTCCCAATTTGATAGTTCTTAGAGATGTTTTTCCTCATTTAATTTTGCATTCTTAGAGCAGTGTTCACTGTCAAGTAGAAAGTATTCAATAAATATTTATGAGTGAGGCAGTGAATTTGCTTCTGAGCAAATACCTCTGAGATCCATGGTAATATCTACAGCGCAGAGCACCTGTGAGAGGACCCAGCAGCAGAGAGAAAATGGGGAAGGTAGGTATGTGTGTGTGTGTAAATTGATACAATTTATTTCACGAGTTTTACAGGCACCAGTCATTTAGAAGACATTATGCAAAGTTGTAAGTGAGATAGTTCTGCCAGAGAATAATGGAGGGGCAAAAGTAAGATACTGAGGCATATTATAAGAAGAAATGGACTCTCTTTCTGGGACACCATCTAAAATATTCCATGTGACATCTTAGGTGGATTAAGAATTGCAAGTATAGCTACAGTAAAAATATAATATTCATTTAACATTCTTTGTGTATTAGGTACCATTATAAGTTTTTTGTATGCATTATCTCATTTAATCATTAAAACAACCTGTTGAGGTAGGTGTGATTACTATTCCCATTATACAGATAAAGAAACTGAAGCTTGCAGTGGTTAAATGATTTGCCCAGCTTCACACAGTTAGCCAGTGGTAGAAGTAGGTCTTAACCTTGATATAGTTATCTTTAGAACTTACCAAAACTCTTAGGTCCTTTTCATTTAAAAATGAGGGGAAAATTTAAATGTTTCCTCCAAGCCAGGATTTTAAACCTGGCTGGGTAGTTTAAAAGCTGTGTGACCATAAGCAAGTTGCTTAACCTCACTGAGCTTCTATTTCTACATCTCTAAAATGGAGATGAAAGCCTTTCTTTCTGTATTTTGGGAGGATTAAATGGAGAGTGTATGTAAAATAGTTAGCAAAGGGTGTGGATTATGAAGGGGATTTAATAAATGTTAATTCACTATGGGGCCTACTAAGAAAGTATTCTCAAATTAACATCATATTAAATATTAGAGATAGGATGAGAGCAAATAGGTCATTCCTCTGGTGAATAAAGGTACCTATATTTGCACAATTTTTTAGAGAGCCATGAGGATTATCTTTGCTGCCTCACCCTCATTTCAATTAAGAACATAGAGATTAGACTTTTCAGCAGGGTGATGTTTATATTTGATTTATACCACAGATGCACATTTGCAGCATCTCAACATTCCATTCCTTGGCTAAAGATGTAACAAGCTACTTCAGCAAACCTGAAATTGCAAGATAAATGGAAAATGCTTAATCATTTAAAAAGAAATAGCAAAGGAAAGAAAAGACCAAAGCATACATGGATACCAGTGAGGAAATTAAAGCAGCAGGAAGTCTCTTCTATTTTTTTAGAGGCTGACAAATGGCTTCATTAGACAGGATATAAAATCAAAAGGGTTCATCTCTCGTATTTACACACAAACACATTTAGAAAAAAGTGTGTATACCTACATATAATCTCATTTTGGGTAAAAGTATTGTTCACTGAGAAAAGCGAGTTTAGAGCAATATGTGAAATATGAACTTATTTTGTAAAAACAATGTCGAGCCCCATCTATATCTGAGTATGCATTCGTACAGGTTTGTATGAATGTGGAAAAGGTATGAAAAGTTCATGCCAGGATGTCACATTGGGAACCTCAAGACTGGTTGCACTGTAGGAAGTTTGGGGACGTTTTGTTTCTTGAATATCTTTGCATTATTTTACTGACTGAAATGAGCATATAGTACTTTGAAAACAAAATTAAAGATAAAAAAGAAAAAATGTACATTTCTTATTATTCATCTCTCCATTCATTCATTAATTTATTAATTATCCAATATTTATTGAATCCTTAATAGTGATGATTAAGTAAACTAAATTAGTCTTCTCTGTGAACAGTCAGATCTGATTTTTTTCAGAGGTGTGCTGACTAAAAATGGTTTTACTTTGTGGGATTAGCAATATGATTCATGCTCTGTCCTAAAATTCTGACCTGTTCGTCTTTGGGATTAACAAGATATGTTAAATTCAAACCATTTGTAGTTAATTTCACTCCTTTGACTCCCCAATTCCATTAAATTGTGGGTCGCCATTGATGGCAAGAGCCAAAATTTAGAGTCAAAAAACAAGGGTTTCAGTCCTCTTTTATTCACCAGATACATAATATTGGTGGGCTAATTCCTTCCATTTGAATCCCAGCACCATCTTCTCTCCTCAGCTAATAATGCCTATCTTACAGTATGGCTATAAAGCTCAAATAGGATCAAATGTTGAAAGTCTTAAAAAATTGCAAAGTGATAGGTAAGTGTATATTACTATTTCTCTACAAAGAATTTGTGATTTTGCTTCCTAACAGAGAACAATGACACACATTTACAAGTATTTGCAGATTTCCACTGGATGCAAGACTATCATAGAAAGTTTGAATGGCCCTCAGGAGTTTCATTTAGCCTCAAGGCAACAACTGACACATTAGGCAAATGCAATTTCTTCCTGGTAAGGATCATAAACCCAATTAACCAACAAGCATATCTGACCTGGTGTAATCATCTTCAACAAGCATGTGCTTTGGAATTGGTGAGTACCTTCCTGGAGAGATGGGCGGCAGGGAGGTTTTATATTCTAAAGTGCCATTGTTGCCAGAAAGTAGATGGTTTTCCATCGGTGGAGAATAAGCTAAGGGATGAAAAAAAGAAAAGAAAAGAAAAGAAACCTGTTATGTGGGTGATTCAATGTGTCATGCTATAGTTCTGTTAAAAATAGAAAGGCTTTGCTACATGCCAAAGATTTTCTTGTCCTCCAAGGGCTGGGGGGGATATTGTTTGTTTGCATTTAATGTGCACTAGCGCATAGTGACCTTTAGGATTGGAAAGATGTAATAACAGTTATATCTGTGATCCCCGTTAGTATAATTAGGTGAAGAGAACAATTGGAGAAGAGACTCAGCACACACTTTTTCAGAATGATGATTAATTTTCTATTGAAATAAAAATGTCTTTCTAATTGCAGAGCTCACATTCCTTTCACATAATTAATATCCAACCATTAAAAGCAGAAGTTTCCTAGAAACATGTTCTTTTATAAGAACTTTAATTCCAAAATATGCTGTACTCCCATCCCAGAAAGGCTAAGAACTCTGACCATTCTTTCCTATTTCTCTACCCTAACTCATCTCCCTTTTAGGTGGTTGAAAACACCTCCTAACTGGGTCTCCTGTACCCGTCTCTCTCCATTTCACACATTGAGAAATCCAGCCCTGACCATGCTGTTCTCTTGCTTAAATGTTATCCATTGCCACTATTGTATTGAATAAGAACTTTCCCTTTCAACATTCTTACAAAATTCACCCTTATGCATGTCCCATGGTCCTCAAACAAAGCCCGTTCTTCCCAACATCTGTACCTTCGTTCCGTCATGTCAACTACTACAATTTCTGTCTCCTGTCCAATCCCTGATACTGAAATATCACACATTATTCAAGATAAAATTCAAATGCCATCTTCTGCATAACAGTTTTCTTTTGATCTCCTAAGGACAGATGTTATCCCCTTCCTTTGAGTGCCCAAAGGACATTTATTTTTACTCATCCCCTGGCATATATATCTCTATTTATACATCCCTTTTTGCCACATATTACTGCTATTTATATATTTGAATTAGCCTTCCTTCCAATGAAGGCCATGATTGTATCTCCTCTGTAGCATACCTATTCCTTTAAAAGGTGTCTAGCCCATATTGAGGTTACTTAATATATATTTCTTGAATCGATTAAGCAAGTTTTGTTTTCTCCCTTTTCTATTTTCGACATTCACCTTATATGCCCTTTATGAAGTGGCTCACAGAGTCTCAAGGCTGATCTTTCTAAATTCATCCAGCTTGAAAAACTTTGCAAGTTTAAACTCTTTCATATCCAAAGGTAAGGCTAAACTCAGCGTATTGTCTGCTTGAATAAAAGACATATTTGGGGACAAGTCATTTTAGGATCATCATTAAGAAAAGCAATAGCTAATGTAATGAGAAGATAACAAATTACTCATCCTTTAAAAAATCCATCCTCAAGAGAAACATCTAAATCTAAGAGAGGTTAAACGACTTGATTAAGACTCTAAAACTAATTAATGGCAGGTCCTGAAGACATCCTGAGTTCTTAACCTCACAAGTGGCTTCTCAAAATTTCAGAATGAACAACTTACTGCCATCAACAAAACTGTCTCTTAAACCCATATCGAAATTTAATTGCTTCTAAATTTAGTCTGCAGAGACAGAACCTTAGATAAGGTTCTTGTTAACCTATTACGAAGAGGCGAAAACATGGGGCTTATGTAGCAGCACAGCATCTCACAGTTAGTTGTTGCCCTAGAAACCCCCACCTGCAATCTATCTTTACTGCCATATTGACGGACAATTTTCTCTGGCTTCCCTACCAATATAACAAATTCATGTAAAGGTAAGAGCTATGATGATGGTGATTAAGGATCATAATTTCATAATTTCGCCATTCAAGTACAAGATCCTCTCACTCAGGAAGAAGCATAAAGCTGTCGTGGGTCTCTTTTGCCAGGATCTCTTTTTCATTCAGCTACTATATAGATTCAAACTAGGAAGAAAGCATATTATGGCATGAGAGCTACCATGCTTTAGGGACTTAAGAAATAGCCTTTAAAAACATGTTTCCCCTATGCTATTGTAATCACACTGTCCACAACATATATTATTAAGGCTTTCTATAACTGTGAACCCGCTGACTCATCAGGGTGTTTCACCTTCAAAACACTAGGTAAGTCCCTAAGGCAACTGGAGGGTAAAACACGGGATCCCTCAGACGTATTTTCACAGGCTTAACAGATGGGAAGGTGCAAGTATAGGACTTTGCCAAGCTTTGTAGAATTCCAGTTTTGCAAATCTGGATGCTGTTCGAAGATAAAACTGCGTGTGGTACTTACAGTGAGTAATATCAGGTGGACCATAAGGATCAGTCATATAAATGGTGGTGGGTTTGCCAACTTTTAGATAAACTACATCTGACGTGTTCTTCAATATTGCTACCGCCTCTTCATGTGTTACTTCTTCTAAACTGTAGTTGTTTACCTTAAAAGGGAAAACAATTCAATATTAGAGTCAAAATGATGCAGGTGAAGAGAAATACTCAGGCAAGAAGATATATGGAATTATAACCTTATTTAAAGATTAAATTGCAATGATTACAGTCCAGTATCTGTATCAGACTTTGATGGAACAGATAGGTTAATGGCATTAGCCACAGCAGATAAGGTACAGTCATTGATACTAAAAAACAAGGTTGCTTCTGCCATTTTCTATGAGGGAGTGATATATGGCAAGTAGAACATAATTTGTGGGAGAAGGAAAGAAGGGATCAAAAGTCTCTTACTATGCTATGGTTTTTGTGATTACAAAAAGTAATACATATTCACTGACCTGAAAGGAAGAAAAAGTATATATATACATATTCTCTCTATTTGGATATATTTCTTTAAGTGATTCTGACTGTATTATATACTTTGTTGTGGAATCTGTTTTATAACCTAGAGTAACCATTTGTCCTTATCTTGAAAGTGCTTCAACAACATGGCTGTTTTGTACAGAGCATTGTGTTGCATGGCTATAAAATAATGATTTAACTAATCTCTTACCGAAGCATATTTAGTTTGCTCCTAATTATTTTCTACTATAAATAATGTTTCAGTAAACCATTTTTTTTATATTTGTATACAACTTTGATGATTTCTTCAAGATAAGTCATACAAGCAGAATTGCTGGACTAAACTGTATGGATATGATAAGGCTTCTGAAACCTATTTCCAAAGTGCTCTCTGGAAATATGAACGAGTTTACTTTTATACTACAACTATACAAGAGCCCCCATTTTCTTATGGCTTCACCAGACTTGGCTTTTCTCACTTTAAAAATCATTCCTATCAAAATGTTATTTGACATTAGTCTATTTTCTAAGAGAAGAGGGCTAATGTTGGAACATAGAGCTCTTCATGTGAGCAAGTTCAAGGGTACTCTATTGCCATCGGCTTCAATAGCAACTTCCCTTTCCTTTTTTTCTGAATAGACAATTAATTTTTTTTAAAAATTACAGTTGACATTCAATATTATATTAGTTTCAGGTGTATAGCATAGTGGTTAGACATTTATATAACTTAAAAAGTGTTTCTCCTGATAAGTCTAGTACCCACCTGGCACTATACATAGTTATTACAATATTATTGACTATATTCCCTATGCTGTACTTACATCCTCATGACAATTTTGTAACTGCCAATTTGTACTTCTTAATCCCTTCACCTTTTTTACCCTGCCTCCAACACTCCCTCCCATCTGGCAACCATCAGCTTGTTCTCTGTATCTATGAGTTTGTTTCTGTTTTGTTCGTCCGTTTATTTTTTTAGATTCCACATGTAAGTGAAATCATATGGTATTTGCCTTTTTCTGTCTGACTTATTTCTCTTAGCATAATTCTTTTCTTTATTGGACAGAAAAGTCAGTGATACAAGTGCAATCATCATTTCATGACAATGGCATTGTAGTGGACCTTGGCCACAATTCTCTTAAATGATTTAAAAATATTCAGGAAGTATTTTAAATACCTAGGTCATTCTTATTTGGCTACTTTTTTTTTTTTAATAGAATGATTTTTCAGTTTCTACTGAAATGATGTAGAACTAAAATAAATATTCCAAGAGCATTAGACTGGATCCCTACATATTCTCTGTGGTATCTAATTAGCACGTTAGTCATATAATACCTTGCAGTAATTTTTTTTTTTTTTTGGCTCATGCCGTTAAAAAAAAAATCATTTTAATTTGGCTATTTTTTTTTTTTTAATAGAATGATTTTTCAGTTTCTACTGAAATGATGTAGAACTAAAATAAATATTCCAAGAGCATTAGACTGGATCCCTACATATTCTCTGTGGTATCTAATTAGCACGTTAGTCATATAATACCTTGCAGTAATTTTTTTTTTTTTTTGGTCTCATGCCGTTATATAAATCCCATGTGCCATCTTATCCTTGGTGGTGTAGCCCAAGTTAGGGACCCTGGATGGAACTGAACTTGACTGATGTGTATGAATGCTGGCCATGAATTCTTCATTAAACTATAAGCCTCTGTATGGGTTCCTGCAGTTCTTTTCTAGGCAGGTGACATTCTCTTAAATGTTTTTGTATTTCCAGTGTCTAGCACTTGTTCATTCATTGATCAAATGTTTATTGCATACCTATTATATGTCAATAACTATTTTACATATTAGAGATATAGTGATAAATGATAAGAATGATAACCATGATCATATCAGACACTTATACAGCTTATATTACATGTCAGGCACTATTATAAACTATTTTACATATATTAGCACAAACTTCACAACAATCTATGAGGTAGCTATTATAATTATCTTCATTTTACAGATGAGAATGTTTCCAAGAAGTTAATAACATGCCTTAAGTCTTTGATCAGTAAATGGTAGAGGCAGAATTAAAAGCCAGGCAGAGAAAAAGAAAGAAAAGAGAAAAAAAAGAGAGAGAGAGAAAAGAAAAGAATAAATGAAAAAAAAGAAAAAGAAAGAATAAAAACCCAGGCAGTTTGGCTACAGAGACCATGCTCTTAACCACTCAACTACATTGCTTCTTCCAGAAAAACAAGGTCCCAGCTCTCCTGAAACATGTTCTAATACATTCTAAGAACATAGCTGTTTATGGAATAAATGGATAGACTAAACTCATGCAGAAAGTGAGAACATCTAGGGACTACAGGTTTGGGAAATACAGTTGATGATGTAATAGAGAATAAGAGAAACAACATTAGTAATAATAAGAGCTAACATTTACTTATATGTCATATTTTGGGAGTATTATGTATATATTTTAACATAAATCATATAACTGATCCTGGTTATAGTGTCTTGAGGCACACATTAATAATTAGGCCCATTTTACAGATGAGAAAAACTGATGTTTAAAGAAGTCAGTGTGCAACTACGGCCATGCCACCTTGAAAGTGCCCAATCTCGTCTGATCTCGGAAGCTAAGCAGGGCCTGGTTAGTACTTGGATGGGAGACCACCTAGGAAGACCAGGTGCTGTAGGTGTTTAAAAATAAATAAGTAAATAAAGAGGCCCAATGTGCAATAAAGTGGCCTCACAGCCTCTGAATGGTAAAGCCATCAGTTAGATCACAATCCTCATTGAGACTGCCCTTCAGTGTTGATTCATTGAAACCCAGGGTTTACATCATCTATTCTTTTTCCTTTTAAGAGAAGAATCTCCTTCCAAGTTTACATATCGAAGTAATGTAAATTCCAAAGTGTTATGTAAGCTCGAATAATCATTACACTTCTTGCTTAATCCAGTGGTGACAGTATATTGCATCATCCAAATATATTGACATAGTTAAAAAAAAAATGTAGCTGGATATAGCTTTCTCTTCAAATCTTCTTATATATTTAATGAATCACTTATTCCAGGGCAATATCACTTGCATAATGAATATTTACAAATGATGTTCGTAATTAATGGTTTAAAATGTGTATGAAAGTGGGTGTTTTCTCTCAAAAGATTGCCCAAGGTAGTTCTAAATATTGTGACAATGGGTCCCAGAAACACCTATTTTGAGAAAAAAACATAAGAAGAAAGGAATTTGTTGACCTAACACAGAGAGGATGTCAAGTCAAGGGATAAAGACCCCAAAGATTAGAAACCAAACAGATCAGATTATAGGTGGCACAGGAGCTTTATTTTTGACAAGGGCTCATTGTCTTTCTTCCCAGGGTAGAGAAAGCACATAACTTATTAGATAATTAGTGAAAAAGAGATATGACCAGTGCTTGTTAAGTTTCACTTTTGCCATTCTTAAGGTGGACAGTGAAACGATCTAGAAAATATTACCTTCAAGCATGTCTTCTGAGAATGACTTTGCTAACAGACTCTTAGACCACCAGGAAAATCTTTAGACCAAAAAGCAGAAGTTGAGGAAAGAGTAGAGGTAAGGAGTGGGGAAAAGGGAGGATGTTGGAGGGGGAGATAATAGTAGTTTAAAACAGTGGTAGTTTAGTCTGTTTTTACTTGGTGACTAGGAAGTGCTGGGAACTTTACATAGATTTTAGTCATGGAATGAGTGCTATGATATTGGCAACAGGATGGGTCATGCAGACCAGGAGCTGAGTCTTGGTCCTGGTATTTCCTAGCTGTGTGACCTTGGGAAACTCATTTAACCTTCTTAGCCTCAGTTTTGACATTTGTAAAATAGGTTTGGTAATAATCACTGTTTCAGAGAGTTATTGATGTAAATGTATTGACCTATGTAAAGGGGCAGGCACATTAAAGTACTTATTAATCTTAGCTTATTACTATTACTATTGTCATCATAAATCTCTGTTCCCAGGAAAACAGAAATTCTTGGTGAAATTTTTTGCTGAGCATTTTCCTGTAAACATCTGTGAACTAATTAGTTTAATTAGGGTACTGTTGATGAGGCTTCTGTGTGGTCTTTTTAAAAATTCAGAATAGTACAGGATCTGGACCAAAAAGTGCTATTTTGTGCTGAAGTCTTCAAAATGTTTTTTCATGAAAGTGGGTTTATTTGGGTTAATTATGTGTGTGCATTATCCTATGAACTCTCAAGATAAAGGGCCTACAGCTGGAGCTGATTGTACGCAGAGAGGAGAGACATTATACTGATTGGTTAGTTGCTCTTGCTATTGTTTTTCATTGTCTTTTGGCTCTGTTTTTTTTTTTGTTTTTTTTTTTTTGCACCAAGTATCTGCTTAAAATGGTGAACACTGAGCAACTGGCCTGGTTTCAGAAAAAAATCATGAGCATTTGAATAAAGTAGTTCCGTGGGGTGTATGTACGCTACCCAGAATGGGACATATGTACAACTTGGCTGTATGTTTGCAATAGGGCAGAGGACTGAGGCCTAAAAAGGGAGGTTAGGAGTGAGATGACTCATTCTCTCAAACAGAAGAAGGAACACTGAATCTGAGCATAATGCAGATAAAAGAGCACAACCAGCTGAAGAGGTGCCAGGAGACTTGCAAGAAGGAAACATGTCAAATGTGGTG